ATTTCACTTATTAAGATTCACCTGGGTTATTGAAACTCACTCCTGGAGTTTCAGACTTAGTAGATCTTGGGTGGTTGCCAAAGGTTTGCATTTCTAACAAGTTCTCAGGTGATGTTAGTGGTGCTAATGCTGCTGGTCCAGGGACCCTACTTTCAGAACCACTACTATTTTCTGTGTCCCTGGCACATGGCCCTAATAAATGTTTCCCTCCGTTGTTTAATCCCATTGTTTGCTTCTTCCACACAACACTCTCTAGGTTATACTGGTATTCAGATAGTAACATGGAAGCCCCTGGACTTTGGGTCATTCAAGTTCTATTTTTTTTCCCCCTTGAAATTATGGCAAGATGCACCAAGCAGAAATACCTATTTTAGAAGCCTAAGATAATTTGATTTAGGGACCCTGGGAGTTCATTTAAAGTTTACATGACCTCAGGGATTGAGTTTTCAGAGTATCTAATTAAATAAATTGTCTATTGTCATTCTACTCTTTCAACAGATCAGTTCTCTTGGCATATAAAGACAATAATAGAAAGAGATCTCTCTGCCAATTCTATCTCCCTGAAGGTAACTGTGGAAAGAGGTGAATTTTCATCTTCCAATTATTTCTTTTTTTAAAATCTAGTACATTCAAGCATTTTACCCTGAGGATTAAACAAGTTCTGTCTTCTTCTTTTAAAAAAGTCTCTCAGGAACACAAATGCTTTTTAAGGTGCTTCTGAACCTCTTGTTTCTCATTAACGAGGTTTAATTTCAAAGTTAGGAGTTCTTTATTTTTTCCCCCCTAAGGGATGTGTTAATGCTAAAGATTTCTCAGTAGCCTTAACCCTCAAAATCCATTGTGACAAAAATTAGATGCATTTTGGTTAAGTAATCCCAAAATGTCCATAGTGCTGAAGTTAAGAAACCCTAGTATAAACTATTAAAGTATAATATTAAAACTATTGTCTGAAACATTCCAATCATTTTCTGGTTTATGATGACAGTGAAGAAGTACCTAAACTAAATTTCACAAATTTTCTCCATAACATTTTGCCACTTCATTTTTCTCATAACACTTTCCATAATCAAAAAAATATATATATTTTTTTCTTGCCTTACGTATTTGTTTTCTTTCTCCTCAGAGGAGTATAAATTCTTTAGGGACAAAAACTATTTTTTTTATCCACAATAATTTCTTCAGGACCTAAAATGTAGTAAATCCTCAAGAAATATTCCTTCTATTAAAAAAAAAAAAATGTGTCAAGAAATCTAGAAGCCTAAGTTTAAGAGTCTAAAAATAAGAAAAATAGGACAGATACTCTCTCTACTCTAATTAGTTACAGATATAATTTTTTTTTTCCCAAATGCTATTAAAAGGCACTCCCAATGATAAACATATTTTAGGTAAAAAGTTTTATAGGATAAATTAACAACTTTTGGGACTGCTTTAATAAGACATTCAGTATATATATATATAAAAGAGTGTAGCAAGGCACACTCAGTATCTACTTTTCTATATATTTATGGAAAGGAAGTAATTTCTGGAGGAGACTAGGAAAAAAATCTGAATTATTGCTTTATAAAATATTTATGGAAACTTTATGAAAAGACCTGAACTGAAACACTGCTCAACTCCAATGTTTTTGGAGATGCCAAGTGTTTAGCACAAACTAAGATTCTTTGAGCAAATGGTCTCTTTCTTTGCAGTACATGGCTTTCTAAAACTGGACTGTGGTAACCATTGCACAACTAAATAAATTTACTTCAACCATCAGGGATGGTTGCAACAATGAATTGCAACAATGAATCAGTTTCATGATATTTAAATTATACCTTAATAAAACTGCTAAAATAAATTTCAGAACATTTTCTGTGGAATTACTCAAGGTGAGTGGTCAATTTCACTATTTTTTATGAAACTATCTATTACACATTCATATGACTAGGCACCCCACTCTGAGTTGCAATCTTTCTTTCTTCATTTTTTCATACCTCTCTGGCCTCCTCAATTTGTACATTTATTGTTGTTAGGTGCTGTTGAGTTGGTTCCAACTCATAGTGACCTTATGCACAACAAAACAAATCACTGCCCTGTTCTATTCCATGTCACACTCATAATTAAGGGAGAGCTCATTGCTGCTGCCACTGTGCCAATCCACTCTACAATTTGTACATTGTTGTTTGCTGTTGTTAAGTGTCATCAAGTCAGTTCCGACTGATAGCAACCCTGTATAGGGCTTCTGAGGAGCAGCTGGTACACAGCAGAAAATACACAGTTTATTAAATTTGATAAGAGCAAAGTGAATTGAAAATATATTGGACAAGTACTTTTTTATTAACAAATTATAATGTTTTAGTAAATTGTTTCATTTGAAATATTTGCTTTGACCCCAGTTTCATTGTTCCTATTATAACTCTCTTTCTAATCTTCATAGTCTTTTCCAACTGCTTAAATTTGCATCCATTGACACTGAATCAAGGCTACATGAATAAAGCAACTTGAAGATGCAAGAGCTATGAATTGAAAAGAGGAGACTTGACATGGAAGAAGAAAGCTCTATTAAAACTTGCATTAAATCAGTTCCAAAAGTGAGTAGTTTTGGAAAATGTACAAAACGTACACTTTAGAATGATCTCATGTTAAGCAGTACATCCCACACTTCTCAAAGAAGGGCTGCTCCTGGAGGTACATAATTTCCAGTAACTTCTAGATGTATGCATTGGGCAAAGCAGCTTCTAGTTGGTGCTGTATATTGTCAGTCAGACTGGTCTGCAATAGAGATGGTAAGAGGATCCTGGGAAATATGGCAGGAACATTACAGGCATCTATTACTCCACCCTTCACTGGGCAGACTAAATTCCACCAATAATCGTCTCCAAATGTGAAGGTTTGAGTGCCTTCCAATGATTTTAACTTCCATTCAGATGACACCTTCAAAGAGTCCTTAAACCATGTGAGGGACCAACTCATGGTCTATTGTATTTACTATGACATGCTTTAGAATTAGAAAGTGGTGATATATCTTAAACTGCAATGGTGAGACATAAAGATATCATAAAATAAAGAAGGGAAAAATTAAAAAAAGAAAAGAGAAAGGAAAGAAGAAAAGAGCAAAGAAAGTGCCAAAGAATGAATCAAAATATCAAATTATCCAAGGCAGTATATTACTATGAATTATCTGGAAAAGCCATCTATCAAATCCAAATTTCCATCCTGGAAGTTAAAATCCACATCACATTTTTATGAAAAATAGGATAACAAAGTTAAGAATATGAGCATAGTGATAGGTTGCCAGGTTTGAGTCCATTCTGATCTTAGAATCTTCCTCTGAAAAGTGTTGTGAATGAGAATATGTATCAGAGAAATAGTGTCATTGTTAAATGAAATCCTAGATGTAAAGCAATGAGCACAGTCCACATGTGGCAATTTGGTTATGACTATGATATGATTTTATTTATTTATTTTTAATTTTTTTTTTTAAGGAAGAACACACACATAACCAAATTAAGGAGAAAAGCATTAAAGTTTGAGAAATTAACATTTGAGCAAACCTTGTCAGCTCTTGACACATAAATGTGGCAATTCTGAAATTGGAATTGTACGAATGGCAGTATTAAAACTGACCACATAAAGAAATTGATGGATAATTGTACAAAAAAAGATACCACACTAGCCCTCATATAACACAGTCTACTCAGCTAGAGTCAATAAGTTGTTGCAATGGCCACACAGAATTGACACCATGCTTACACTTAAGGGGTTTATTGGGGAAATTAACAGATTACAATTCAGGGTCAGAAGTATTCAGGGCACAGTTCTTTAAGGACAATCTCTCCTCAGGTGTACCTGCAGGCAGACCTCTCTCTGACCATCACTTCCTTAGCCTGATCTCCTCTGGCATTGTAACAAAATTCTTTAAGTTTGCTTATAAATGTCCACAGGGCATTCCACTTCACTATAAGCCTCAGCTTGAAGGGCCATGGCTCTAGTTCCATGGGTTAGCAAACCTAACTCCCCAATTATGTGCCTAGAGGCACTCCAAGGTGCAACCAAGCCTCCTGCCAAAAGTAACTCAGCTTTTTGATGGGGAGCCCACCACTCTTTTTGGCTTTTCTGCTTCTGTTCCTCTGCCACTTCTCTACTGACAAAGCTTTCTTTCCCTGTGTAGGATGTCCAATGAACAGGGATCTTGGGGTCCAAAAGACATGCTCCACTCCAAGCTCTTCTTCTTTGATAGAAATGAGATCCCCCTTCTTGATTCTGAAATGGTTCATTGTGTAAACCTGCTATAGTTCTTTCAAGTTTTTTAATTATAGCTAACTCTGTTAACATCCACAGCTGCATCATGTCATCCTATCAGTATCATCTTCCACATTCTCTTACCTGGGATCACCAGGAAAAACCATTGTTTGGTGAGCATTTACAAATACTATGGCTAAAAGAGACATTAAAAAGCTACTGCACAAGAGATCCCTGGAACCATGAAGGGAGAAGAGCAGAGAGCGGGACCCTACCCAGAGAAGCAGTGATGCCTGAGATGGAGGCAGAGACAATGAAGTGGAGAGATGGAGCAGCTGGGAACTTTAGATTCAGAGAGGGAGAGGGGCTGTGTGCTGAGGACCAATGGGCAGGCTTGTAGGATATACCCTTTGATTGGTTGATGATGCATGGAGGGGATTGTAACCATGGCAATGAAATGATATACAATAGGATGAATGTAAAACTAATGTTCTCCCATGTGAACTATCACATAATTCACAACAAAACAGTAAAAAAATAAATAAATAAAGTTACTGCACAACAACAGTCTACAGGAAAAAAGACTAAAAAAGAATTACTTAGGAAACGTTGAGGGAAAAAAAAAGTGGTCCTTTAATAAGTAAAAAGCAAAGTTATGGGTGCTTTGAGAGTAAGAAAAAAAAAAAAAAAATTCCCATCTACTAGGGTCAAAATGAATCAGGATATTTCCTTTCACAAAATTTGCCTTTAGAGACCTCAGAGTTCACTTGGTCTTGAAATCAGTGATCATCATGGACAAGAGGTTCTCTTTTAAAGAGGAGTCTTCCTAGAGCTCCCTTCACATCCTTGTTCCTTAGGCTGTAAATGAAGGGGTTCAGCATGGGTGTGACCACAGTGTACATCACTGAAGCGATCGAGCTTTTCTGAGAAGAATGGGTCATAGCAGAACTGAGATAGACCCCAAGGCTGGTCCCATAGTATAAGGCGACCACAGAGAGATGAGACCCACAGGTGGAAAATGCTTTGTACTTACCTGTAGCAGACGACATTCTCATTAAGGAAGAAACAATCTGAGAGTACGAAAAGAGGATTCCAGTAAAGGGAAACACACCAAGAAGGGCAGCTGCTATATACAAGAAAATGTTATTGATCAGGGTATCAGAGCAGGCCACTTTGATCATCTGAGCCAGTTCACAGAAGAAATGTGGAATTTCAGTGCCTATACAGAATTTCAGCCGAATCATCAGTAGAATATGAAGCATTGAAACCCAGAAAATGATTATCCAAGATATCAGAATCAACAAGCCACAGAGACGAGGATTCATGATATCTGTGTAGTGTAGAGGGTGGCAAATGGCCACAAACCGGTCATAGGCCATCACGGTCAGGAGAAAATTGTCCAGTCCGACAAAAATCATGAAAAAATATACCTGAGTGAGGCATCCTATATAGGATATGTCTTTGCTCCGAGTCTGGATATTCACCAGCATCTTTGGGACTGTGGTTGTAATGAAACAGATGTCAACAAAGGACAGGTTGGACAGGAAGAAATACATAGGGGTATGGAGGTAGGCGTCAGCGCTAACAGCCAGGATGATGGTTAAGTTTCCAAGCACAGTTACCAGGTACATGGACAGGAAGAGTCCAAAGAAGAGAGACTGAAGCTCAGGATCCTCTGAGAGGCCCAGCAAAAGGAACTGTGAGATTTTTGTTTGGTTTTCTGCTTCCATGTTGTTGGTTTATAGACTGTAGAAGAAGGTAAAAGCAACATCACCTGGCATCCCAGCTAGTCTCATCTTTACAGTACTATCTGTATTTTGCTTCCAATGACAGTGGCTCTCACAATCACAAGTAGCTCACATTTCCACTTTGAATGTGTACAGTTATTTAGACTCTATTTTAGCAAAAAATATCTCTTTTTAGTTTCTATTAGATGATTCTAATTCTATTTGAATCTATGCATATAATAAGTTTCTTCTTTTTTTGTTTGTGAACTTCAAAGTATGTTCTTTACCCTGGAAATTCTCATTCTGCCTTTATCCTGGTGCCTCTGTTAGTTATAAAGGCCATCTGACTTGAAAATTTGTGTGTGAAGTCAGACATGGCACTTCCTACTGATGTGACTCTTGGTACTTCATTTTTCTTTTTAAAAATATTGTCATTTCCATGAAATTTTTTGTGAGCTTTAGAAATGCCTCTGTGAACAGGAAGTTCTCAATGAATAACATATTATTATTAATCTGTTCCTTTTTTTTTTAAATGCCATCTTTGCTTTGTTTTTTGTTTTTTTAAGTTATTATTATGAATTATATGATAGTTTTTATAGGAGAACGTAAGTTTTACATTCATCCTATCATATTTTGTTTCATTAATCTGTTCCTTTTAAGGCAATTACTTTTGACAGATAATTTTCACAAGCTATATCAAAATATAACGTTTTGATTTCAGAAATGTGTGTTTGAATCACTTTGTTGTTGTTAAGAGCTAATGAGTCAGTTCCGATTAATAGCAACCCTGTATAGGGTTTCCGAGGAGAAGCTGGTGAGCTTGAACCACCAATCTTGTGGTTTAACTGACCTGACAGTCCAGTGCATTAACCCACAGCACCACAGTACCTGGAAAACAAATTTAGCTCTTTTAACTTACTACTTGTGTGACCTTGGGAAAGTTACTCAGTCACTGTTAGCTACAGATATCTCACATCTTCAATAAGAAGAGTAAAAATTAACTACACAATGAATGGATTAACTATGAGGATGCATATACTTTTTCTAGTGTGATGCCTGTGGCATCCGGTGGCCACTTGATAATTATGAGTTTCTGTTTTATCATCACAATAAATCTGTTTTTAATGGCTATCATTTATCAAACTCCCCCCTTAAACTAGAGCAGTCATTAGGGATTGAACAGTGATCATTATAAGCACAAGAGTCTATTACCTTGTTTAACTTCCATACAGTGCTTCTGATTAGTGAAGACCCCTAAGGCTCTCTTTGGATTCTTCCAAGAAGAGATAATGCGTATGGACTATGTAAAGAAGAGGAGGAAACCAAAGGATGCAAGCATTAAAATACAAGACAAATCATGTGTGATTATGTGTTCATGTACACAGGCTCTTGAGTTGTATTGTATTGCAGTTAATGAATAAAATGAAATATTAGATACATTCTATTAAATTATATCAGCATAAAGCATACTAAGGAAAATTAAAAGTCAAATTTAGGATTTGAAACTTACCCCATAGTGAAAAGTAAACTGCCTTGAAACTACAATGAGTTCACTTTAACAAATATGGGAAACTTCAGTCTCCTTACCAGAGATGAGGCTTAGTGCACCCTTTTCCTCTGTTCTACTTCTAATTCCACCAGCCCTCAATGTTATTGTTATTGATTAGTGTCTTCAAATTGGTACAAACTCAAAGCAATCCTTTACTGGGTTTCTGAGGAGTGGCTATTAGTGGATTTGAACCACTGGCCTTGCAACTCAAACTGACCTTGTGGCCCAGTGCTTATCCTACAGTGCCACACCAGGACTCCACCAGCCCTCAATGAGACACACTAAGTCTTCCTTGTGGTAACAATGAAGTAGCTTTTCTTCTCTATGGTCTGCCTCAGGGAAGCCCAATTTGATTTTCAACTAACTGGGATCAAATATTTACAGAATAAAGGTCAATGACGACACATTTAATATTTCCAAAATCTCTGGGGGTTTAATCTCAAAGCTATTCATTAAATATATTGTTCTGGTTTCCTTCCACTCTCTAAGCACTCCAGTTCCTTTGGGTATAAAGAAGATAAAATGAGAATGTTTCTCATTTTAGAAAGCTGTGAAAGGAGGAGGGAGTTAATTGATTTCCTCTCAGCGCACTTTGATTTGAATTCTCTTAATACCTGATGATGTTGAGCATGTTTCATGTGTTTCTCAACCCTTTGTATATCTCTTTTAAATTACTCTCTATTCAAATGCTTTTCACATTTTTCTTAAGTTATTTGAGTTTAGTTGTTGAATTGGAAGAGTGTTCTTTGAATTCATTTTATACCACCTTGTTCTGTTTTATGATATCTTATTGTCTTATACTATGTTGTTTCTAGGTGCCATCAGGTCAGTACCAACTCATAGTGACATTATACACAATAGAAATAATGCCCAGTACTAGTCCTACTTCACAATATTTGCCAGTCTTGAGGCCATTGATACTGCCGCTTTGCCAATCCATCACATTGGGCATCTTCCTCTTTTTCTCTGACCCGTCACTTTACAAACAGGATATACCTGTCTAGTGACTAGTCCCTCCTGACAACATTGTCTAAAGTATGAGAGACAACGCCATCCTGGCCTACAAGGAGAACTCTGGCTGCACTTCTTCCAACACAGATCTGTTTGTTCTTTTAGCAGACAGCCCATAGTAATCTCAATATTCTCTTACCAACACCATAACTCAAAAGCATCAATTCTTCTACGGTCTTCCTTATTCACTGTCCAATTTTCACATGCATATAAGGTTATTGAAAATACCATGGTTTGGGTTAGGCACCCCTTAGTCCTCAAGCTGACATCCTTGCTCTTCAACATTTGAAAAAGGTTTTGTGCAAAAATGTCATACTATGTTGTTGTTGTTAGCTATCATTGAGTTGGTACCAACCCATAGCGACCTTATGCACAGTAGAATGAAACACTGCCTGATCGTGGGCCAACCTCACTACTGTTGCCACTTGCCCAATCCATCTCATTGGGGTCTTCCTCTTTTTCTCTGACCCTCCACCTTACCAAACATGATATATTTCTCCAGTGACTAGTCCCTCCTGACAATATGTCCAAAGTATGAGAGATGAAGTTTAGCCATCTTGGCCTCTAAGGAGCACTCTGGCTACACTTCTTCCAAAATAGATCTATTTTTTTCTTTTGGCAGCCCATGGTACTTTCACTATTCTCCTCCAACACCACAACTGAAATGCTTCAATTTTTCTATGGTCTTCCTTATTCACTGCCCAGCTTTTGCATGCATATGAGGTTATTGGAAATACCATGGCTTGGGTCAGGCGCACCATAGTCCTCAAGCTGATATCTTTGCTCTTCAACACTTTAAAAAGGTCTTGTGCAGTTGATTTGCTTAATGCAATACATCGTTTGATTTCTTGACTGCTGCTTCCGTGAGTGTTGATAGTTGATCTAAGAAGAAAGAAGTCCTTAACAACTTGCTAAATTAACCATTTGTGATAACCCAATGGTATGTTGTTGTTGTTAGCTGCCATCGAGTCAGTACCAACTCCTAGCGACTTTATACACAGCAGAACGAAACACTGCCTGATCCTGGGCCAACCTCAGTATTCTTGTTAATGAGTCTTCCTCCAATCCTGATGTCATGTTTTTCTTCATATAATCCAGATTCTCAGATTACTTGCTAAGCACATAGGTTGAATAAATATGGTGAAAAAATGAAACCCAGCTGCACACCTTTCTTAATTTTAAAACAGTCACCGTTCCCACGTTCTGTTCAAACAGCTGCCTCATGGTCCATGCACAGATTCCTCATGAGCACAAATCCTCATACTTCATAATATTGTCCATAGCTTGTCATGATCCACACAACTGAAAGCCTTTGAGTAGTCAATGAAGCACAGGTAAACATCTTTTTGATATTCTCTGCTTTCAGCCAATATCCATAGGACATCAGCAATGATATCCCTCATTCTATGTCCTCCTCTGAATCTTGCTTGAACCTCTGGAAGTTCTCTGTCAGTGTATTGT